TCATTGGTAAACAGAAAACCCTCACTAAGTAATTTATTGGTGAACAGAAAACCCTCACTAAGTAGTTTATTGGTGAACAGAAAACCCTCACTAAGTAGTTTATTGGTGAACAGAAAACCCTCACTAAGTAGTTTATTGGTGAACAGAAAACCCTCACTAAGTAGTTTATTGGTGAACAGAAAACCCTCACTAAGTAGTTTATTGGTGAACAGAAAACCCTCACTAAGTAGTTTATTGGTGAACAGAAAACCCTCACTAAGTAGTTTATTGGTGAACAGAAAACCCTCACTAAGTAGTTTATTGGTGAACAGAAAACCCTCACTAAGTAGTTTATTGGTGAACAGAAAACCCTCACTAAGTAGTTTATTGGTGAACAGAAAACCCTCACTAAGTAGTTTATTGGTGAACAGAAAACCCTCACTAAGTAGTTTATTGGTGAACAGAAAACCCTCACTAAGTAGTTTATTGGTGAACAGAAAACCCTCACTAAGTAGTTTATTGGTGAACAGAAAACCCTCACTAAGTAGTTTATTGGTGAACAGAAAACCCTCACTAAGTAGTTTATTGGTGAACAGAAAACCCTCACTAAGTAGTTTATTGGTGAACAGAAAACCCTCACTAAGTAGTTTATTGGTGAACAGAAAACCCTCACTAAGTAGTTTATTGGTGAACAGAAAACCCTCACTAAGTAGTTTATTGGTGAACAGAAAACCCTCACTAAGTAGTTTATTGGTGAACAGAAAACCCTCACTAAGTAGTTTATTGGTGAACAGAAAACCCTCACTAAGTAGTTTATTGGTGAACAGAAAACCCTCACTAAGTAGTTTATTGGTGAACAGAAAACCCTCACTAAGTAGTTTATTGGTGAACAGAAAACCCTCACTAAGTAGTTTATTGGTGAACAGAAAACCCTCACTAAGTAGTTTATTGGTGAACAGAAAACCCTCACTAAGTAGTTTATTGGTGAACAGAAAACCCTCACTAAGTAGTTTATTGGTGAACAGAAAACCCTCACTAAGTAGTTTATTGGTGAACAGAAAACCCTCACTAAGTAGTTTATTGGTGAACAGAAAACCCTCACTAAGTAGTTTATTGGTGAACAGAAAACCCTCACTAAGTAGTTTATTGGTGAACAGAAAACCCTCACTAAGTAGTTTATTGGTGAACAGAAAACCCTCACTAAGTAGTTTATTGGTGAACAGAAAACCCTCACTAAGTAGTTTATTGGTGAACAGAAAACCCTCACTAAGTAGTTTATTGGTGAACAGAAAACCCTCACTAAGTAGTTTATTGGTGAACAGAAAACCCTCACTAAGTAGTTTATTGGTGAACAGAAAACCCTCACTAAGTAGTTTATTGGTGAACAGAAAACCCTCACTAAGTAGTTTATTGGTGAACAGAAAACCCTCACTAAGTAGTTTATTGGTGAACAGAAAACCCTCACTAAGTAGTTTATTGGTGAACAGAAAACCCTCACTAAGTAGTTTATTGGTGAACAGAAAACCCTCACTAAGTAGTTTATTGGTGAACAGAAAACCCTCACTAAGTAGTTTATTGGTGAACAGAAAACCCTCACTAAGTAGTTTATTGGTGAACAGAAAACCCTCACTAAGTAGTTTATTGGTGAACAGAAAACCCTCACTAAGTAGTTTATTGGTGAACAGAAAACCCTCACTAAGTAGTTTATTGGTGAACAGAAAACCCTCACTAAGTAGTTTATTGGTGAACAGAAAACCCTCACTAAGTAGTTTATTGGTGAACAGAAAACCCTCACTAAGTAGTTTATTGGTGAACAGAAAACCCTCACTAAGTAGTTTATTGGTGAACAGAAAACCCTCACTAAGTAGTTTATTGGTGAACAGAAAACCCTCACTAAGTAGTTTATTGGTGAACAGAAAACCCTCACTAAGTAGTTTATTGGTGAACAGAAAACCCTCACTAAGTAGTTTATTGGTGAACAGAAAACCCTCACTAAGTAGTTTATTGGTGAACAGAAAACCCTCACTAAGTAGTTTATTGGTGAACAGAAAACCCTCACTAAGTAGTTTATTGGTGAACAGAAAACCCTCACTAAGTAGTTTATTGGTGAACAGAAAACCCTCACTAAGTAGTTTATTGGTGAACAGAAAACCCTCACTAAGTAGTTTATTGGTGAACAGAAAACCCTCACTAAGTAGTTTATTGGTGAACAGAAAACCCTCACTAAGTAGTTTATTGGTGAACAGAAAACCCTCACTAAGTAGTTTATTGGTGAACAGAAAACCCTCACTAAGTAGTTTATTGGTGAACAGAAAACCCTCACTAAGTAGTTTATTGGTGAACAGAAAACCCTCACTAAGTAGTTTATTGGTGAACAGAAAACCCTCACTAAGTAGTTTATTGGTGAACAGAAAACCCTCACTAAGTAGTTTATTGGTGAACAGAAAACCCTCACTAAGTAGTTTATTGGTGAACAGAAAACCCTCACTAAGTAGTTTATTGGTGAACAGAAAACCCTCACTAAGTAGTTTATTGGTGAACAGAAAACCCTCACTAAGTAGTTTATTGGTGAACAGAAAACCCTCACTAAGTAGTTTATTGGTGAACAGAAAACCCTCACTAAGTAGTTTATTGGTGAACAGAAAACCCTCACTAAGTAGTTTATTGGTGAACAGAAAACCCTCACTAAGTAGTTTATTGGTGAACAGAAAACCCTCACTAAGTAGTTTATTGGTGAACAGAAAACCCTCACTAAGTAGTTTATTGGTGAACAGAAAACCCTCACTAAGTAGTTTATTGGTGAACAGAAAACCCTCACTAAGTAGTTTATTGGTGAACAGAAAACCCTCACTAAGTAGTTTATTGGTGAACAGAAAACCCTCACTAAGTAGTTTATTGGTGAACAGAAAACCCTCACTAAGTAGTTTATTGGTGAACAGAAAACCCTCACTAAGTAGTTTATTGGTGAACAGAAAACCCTCACTAAGTAGTTTATTGGTGAACAGAAAACCCTCACTAAGTAGTTTATTGGTGAACAGAAAACCCTCACTAAGTAGTTTATTGGTGAACAGAAAACCCTCACTAAGTAGTTTATTGGTGAACAGAAAACCCTCACTAAGTAGTTTATTGGTGAACAGAAAACCCTCACTAAGTAGTTTATTGGTGAACAGAAAACCCTCACTAAGTAGTTTATTGGTGAACAGAAAACCCTCACTAAGTAGTTTATTGGTGAACAGAAAACCCTCACTAAGTAGTTTATTGGTGAACAGAAAACCCTCACTAAGTAGTTTATTGGTGAACAGAAAACCCTCACTAAGTAGTTTATTGGTGAACAGAAAACCCTCACTAAGTAGTTTATTGGTGAACAGAAAACCCTCACTAAGTAGTTTATTGGTGAACAGAAAACCCTCACTAAGTAGTTTATTGGTGAACAGAAAACCCTCACTAAGTAGTTTATTGGTGAACAGAAAACCCTCACTAAGTAGTTTATTGGTGAACAGAAAACCCTCACTAAGTAGTTTATTGGTGAACAGAAAACCCTCACTAAGTAGTTTATTGGTGAACAGAAAACCCTCACTAAGTAGTTTATTGGTGAACAGAAAACCCTCACTAAGTAGTTTATTGGTGAACAGAAAACCCTCACTAAGTAGTTTATTGGTGAACAGAAAACCCTCTCTAAGTAGTTTATTGGTGAACAGAAAACCCTCTCTAAGTAGTTTATTGGTGAACAGAAAACCCTCACTAAGTACTTTATTGGTGAACAGAAAACCCTCACTAAGTACTTTATTGGTGAACAGAAAACCCTCACTAAGTAGAATATTGGTGAACAGAAAACCCTCACTAAGTAGATTGTTGGTGAACAGAAAACCCTCTCTAAGTAGTTTATTGGTGAACAGAAAACCCTCTCTAAGTAGATTGTTGGTGAACAGAAAACCCTCTCTAAGTAGTTTGTTGGTGAACAGAAAACCCTCTCTAAGTAGTTTATTGGTGAACAGAAAGCCCTCTCTAAGTAGATTATTGGTGAACGGAAAACCCTCTCTTAATAGTTTATTGGTGAACAGAAACCCCTCACTAAGTAGTTTATTGGTGAACAGAAACCCCTAACTCAGTAGATTATCGGTGAACAGAAAACCCTCTCTAAATAGATTATTGGTGAACAGAAAACCCTCACTAAGGTGAACAGAAAACCCTAACTCAGTAGATTATTGGTGAACAGAAAACCCTCACTAGGTAGATTATTGGTGAACATAAAACCCTCTCTAAATAGTTGATTGGTGAACAGAAAACCCTCACTAAGTAGTTTATTGGTGAACAGAAAACCCTCTCTAAATAGATTATTGGTGAACAGAAAACCCTCTCTAAGTAGATTATTGGTGAACAGAAAACCCTCACTAAGTAGTTTATTGGTGAACAGAAAACCCTCTCTAAATAGTTTATTGGTGAACAGAAAACCCTCACTAAGTAGATTATTGGTGAACAGAAAACCTAATTAAGTAGATTATTGGTGAACAGAAAACCCTCTCTAAGTAGATTATTGGTGAACAGAAAACCCTCTCTAAATAGTTTATTGATGAACAGAAAACCCTCACTAAATAGATTATTGGTGAACAGAAAACCCTAACTCAGTAGATTATTGGTGAACAGAAAACCCTCACTAAATAGTTTATTGGTGAATAGAAAACCCTTACTAGGTAGATTATTGGTGAACAGAAAACCCTCACAAGGTAGATTATTGGTGAACAGAAAACCCTCACTCAGTAGATTATTGGTGATGTTCAGTAAGTTACAATCCCCATCACAGTTGGATTACAAATGGATTTACTTTGTTGTTCAATTATAGTCACACTCCCCATTATAACAGATAGTCTCTTGAGATATTCCACCAAATTCTAAAAAGTCTTCTGTTAACCAAATATTTATCATATGGACACTTTCATTGTCATCCTGGGTATGTTGTCCTGCTAAGTGTTATGTTAAACATTTTATACATGTATTTTAGAATTTTGCTGTTCCATTTGCAGCCAACTGTTTACATTTAGTTCTGGAGGAACCACTGTAAATCTGAGGATTTCTGGTGACGGAAGGACTATGGCTTTCCAACATGGTGTTGATGGCCTCTCCATCGACATTAACAGTAACAGCAGAACGTGGAAACATTTTGCACTGAGATTTGTAAGTAAATAGAAATTAATACTTTGGACTGAGATTCCATTCTACAACTTTCATATTTATACTCTCATGAAATAAATGTATTCAAGTATTCCATAAAATACATCTACTTGATGTCAAAATATGGTTAAAAATGATAAGTGATATTTTTTCAGTGCTGGGGGCACAAAATGACCAAGCACTTTTAGAAATAACAAGCTATTAAAAAGCCATGAGCACAAAATCATTAATAAAAAATTAATGTCTACCATTATTAGCTCACCTGGTCCGAAGGACCAAGGTTTGCTTATGCCATACTGTGGCGTCCGTTGTCCGTCTGTCAGTCGTCTGTACGTCAACAATTTCTTCAAACAACTTCTTCTTCTTAACCACTGATAGGAATTAAACTAAATTTGACTGGAAGCATCCCTAGGTGGTTGGGATTCAAAATTGTACAAATGGTGGGGCTGACCACCCAGAGGACTGAGGGGGAAGGGTCGAAAGGGGTTAATTTGGCTCTATTGCTTTATGCGACTTCTCCTGATCTGGAACTTAGAGATGGATATTACCATATTTGACTGGAAGCATTCCTAGGTGGTGGGGATTCAAAAATGTACAAATGGTGGGGCTGACCTCCCAGGGACCGGGGCGGAGGGGCAAGCCAAAAGGGGGCAATTTGGCTAAATTGCTATAATGACTTCTTTTGTAGAACTATGTACTGGATATCAATCATATTTGGTCAGAAGCATTCATGGAAGGCGGGGATTCAAAATTGTACTAATGGTGGGTCTGACCCCCCAGGGGGCTGAGGGGCATGGCCAAAAGGGGGCAATTTGGCTATATTGCTATAAATGACTTCTTCTGTAAGAACTATGCACTGGATATCAATCATATTTGGTTGGAAGCATTCATGGGAGGCAGGGATTCAAAATTGTACAAATGGTGGGGGTGACCCCCGGGGATAAAGGGTGGGGCCAAAAATAGTTTATTACTTCGAAATGGTTGAGATCCCCACCCTATTACCATATATACAATTGCTGAGTATGAAGAGAAGAATGCACATATGCTTCCAGGATTGCCCAGGGTCGGGCAGTAAAGTTGAAAAAGTGGCTCCACCCTTGGCGACATAGTCCCTGGGTCATAACTTTAAAACGGTTGAGATCCCCGCCCCAAAACTGTATATATAAATGCGGGGCATAAAGAGATGAATGCAGTCATGATATAAGAATTGAACCCAGGGTCTGACCCGCCCTTGGAGACTTAACCCCTGGGTCATAACTTTGAAACGGTTAAGATCCTCACCCCAAAACTATATATACAATTGTTGGGCATAAAGAGACGAATGCAGTCATGATACTATAATTGATATTGGGATCTGGCCACAACCCTAGGGACCTATAGTTTCTGAGTCACACCTTGGAAACAGTTGTGATCCCCACCCCATAACCATACATAAAATTGCTGGGCATGAAAAATCTGATACAAATCTGATACAAGGATTGGCCTTGGAGTCTGGCCCATTCCCTTGGATCTTATTTGGAGAATGGCATCATGTAAGGTTGGTTTTGACAATAACATACAATTAAAAATTCATGAACACAAAGTCTTTAATAAACCACTAATATTAGTCCACTATATTTAGCTAATCCTGCCCCGAAGTGCCAAGTGAGCATAATTATGCCGTGGCGCAGCGTCCATCAGCTTATTCCTTTAAAACGCTGCTAGTTCTTAACAGATCAGTCGATTTTGAGCAAAGTTTTGTCTAGAGCATCATTGGCAAAAGGGCTCTTAAATTTGTATAAACAGAGGTTATGGCCCCCCTGGGGGCAGTGATGCGGGGCCAAATAGGAGGAAAAGAAGTAAATCTTCAAAAATCTTCTCCTTCTCAACCAATGGAAGAATTTTCACCAAATTTGCTCTAGAGCATCTTTGGACAAAGGGACCAAACTTGTTCTGAAGAAAAGGGACTCAAGTTTGTATAAATGGAGGGTGTGGCCCCCCTGGGGGCAGAGTAGTTGGGCCCAATAGGATTTAAACGCAATGTGGTCTAAAGCATACTTAGGATAAAAAGATGCAATTTGAATAAACTGAATCTGTGGCCCCCCCTTTCTGCAGAAAGGTGCATGTGCAGGTGAGACCAAATAGGGGAAATAGAGGAAAAATTAAAAATCATTCTTCTTTTTTACCGTATTAAGGGATTTTAACCAAACTTGTTCTAGAGCATCTTTGGGAAAAGGGGATTCAATTTTGTATTAAGTTTTAAATGGAGTATGTGCCCCCACCCTTGGGGCCAGAGGGAAAGGGCCCAATTGGGGAAATAAAGAGAAATCTTTTAAAAGTTTCTCTTTCTGTGTGAATAGAGGGACTATCACCAAATCTATTAGCAAAGGGACTAAATTTTGTATAAATGGAGGGTGTGGCCCCTTGTGACAGAAGGCTGGGTCCGATAAGGGAAATAGAGCTGACTATTTAAAATCTTCCTCCTTCCAAATGGTTGGAGGGATTAAAACAAATTTAGTCTAGAGCATCCTTGGCAAGTGGAACTCAGGTTTATATAACAGTGTGTGTGGCTCCCAAGGGGGCAGAGGGGCTTGGCCTAGTAGGGGAAATAGAGTCACCTTGGCCCAATGTCAATGTTGTATAAACCATGCCCCCAGCCCCATCGGGGTGGAGGGCGAGACCCAATAATGTAAGGGTACTGGTGTTGCTGAGAGACTATTAGGCCCCCACCCCTCTGCCCCCCTGGGGGCCACAACTGTCTTTATAAAAAAAACACACTATTATTCCCCTATCTGGCCCCTTTCCCCCCGGGGGGGGGGGGGGGCATGGCATATGTTTATGCAAAATTGAGAACCCTTTGGCAAAAGATGCTCCAGATGGGTAATTTTTTCCGGCCTCATCGGGATTTAGAATTAGTTGTTATATTCGTTATCTAAATTAAATGAAGTATATACACACATATGCTTAATCATTGTCAAACCGATGTTTATTAGTAGAAATTTTGTTTCTATGGTATGGCATCTACGCATGCGCATTTGAAAAAATCTGCACTAAGAAAGATGGCCCTAATAAACCAATATGATGTTTATAATAGAAAATGGTTAACAAGTTTTCAATTTTTATGAGGCAAAAAATGACCCATAATGCCCCAAGTCGTTTGGTCACTAAAGACAAATTTAAGCAAATTCGTTCGAAAGCATTCTTGGGGAAAGGGGAGGCAATTATGAGTAAATGGAGGATGTGGCCCCCTTGGAGACAGAGGGGTGGGGTCCGATTGGGGAAATAGAAATAAATGTTCAAAAACCTTTTCCTTCTGTACCAGTAGAAGATTTTTAAGCAAATTTGTTCTAGAGTATCCTTAGTATTGAGTATGCATACTAAAGTTATGGTAAAATTTATCCAAATTCATTGATTTACACTTTAACATACAGAGTTAACTACTCCTTTGTCTGCAGTCAATTTGTTGGTGGTTTATTTGTACATTTCCTTAATTGTACATGATTGATATTTTTTATTTGTTTTTATTTATTATATTTTTTCATAACAGTTTGAGTCTACTCTGGATTTTCACCTTGATGGCAAACACCGGAACAACTTTACAAATCCTTGGTTTCCATCCTTCAATGTAAATAGCACCATTGAATTTCACAATTATTGTAAGTTGAAAAAGTGTTTGACAGATTATGTAATTTGACCTCCCCCTACAATATTCTTAAAGTACAATGTCATCTGCCTGAAGGCTCAACTGCTTGTCTTTGATACATTGTATGAAGTTTTCCTCAGAGTCAGTGGGTGTTAGGCTGGCTTAGTTGGGACACAAAAGCATGGCATAATGGTATAAAATTTGACACATCATTAAAGTCCAAAGGACAGGATGGCATCAGCTCAAAGCAGAATAGATTTGTATTGCTGTGAATGGGGAGGGGGAGGGGAGGGGAGATTAATAGAATCTCTCACTCTCTTGGGGTAGAGATTAATAGGGAAATTCCACGCGAGGGTTTTTCAAATTTGGTAAAACCCGAGGCTTTGCCGAGAGTTTTGTCAATTTGAAAATCCTGAGGGATCGCCTTTTCCGCATTGCCGCATTGGAGAGTTCTAAATTTGTGATGTCACTTCGCGTCACGTCATGTGAAATTGAGTGTAAGATTGAAAATTCCTGCACCCCTTTCTTACCCTGGACAGCTCTATCTTACACACAGGGAAATGAGATAAAATGATATCTTGCACCTGTAAAAGTGTGAATACACCAGTCAAGGGTAAGAGAAATCATTGTCTATGTCTGTCCATATGTACACAAGGGAACATTGCCATCACTCTTATCCCTTCATTTCATCAGTGCTCCAGATAAACTTTGAGCATGAGGGGTTTTTCAACTTATTTTTGAAAATTTAAGGGCTAGACAAAATTTAAGTCATATTAGAATTCAATGTCAAGGAGAGCATTGTGCCAGTAACATGGCTGTTTTCTTTTAATTGTAGGTTTTTAATTTAGAGATTTTTGTCTGTCCAAAGTGACTTTTGATTTGAAATGTGATCTGTGCTGACAGTTATCCATTATGTTTTTAGCCCTTCATCATCAGATCGTGGGCTATTCAAATCACCCTGGTCCCTGGACGTCAGTCAGTCAGTCCGTCCATTCTTAAACAGTTCTTGTTAGCACTATTTCGCAGAAAGTGCCTAAGGGATCATTCTCAAACTTAACATGAAGGCTCCCCATGGTCCCTGAGTTATGCATATTGATTTTTGGGACTGATCACAAAACCAACATGGCCAACATACAGCCAACTTGAATTTGAGAGTTAAAGATTGTAAGCACTATTACTCAGAACTTACTAGAGATATCTTTCTCAAATTTCACATGAATGTTCCCCATGGTCCCTAGATACACATTACAAATTTTGGGACTGAACTCAAAACCAAGATGGCTGACAGGCAGCCATCTTTAATTTGAGAGTTAAATTTGTTAGCACTATTTCTCAGAAAGTATTGGAGAGATCTTTCTGAACTATCCAAAGAAGGTTCCCCATGGTCCCTAGTTATGCATATCAATTTTTGGGCTGACCACAAAGCAAATTAAGATGGCCAACAGGCAGCCACCTTGAATTTGAGAGTTAAAAATTGTTAGCGCTATTTCTCAAAACTTACTTGAGGGATCTTTCTCAGATTTCACTTGATGTTCCCCATGGTCCCTAGATACCTATTACAAATTTTGAGACTGATCACAAAAACCATTATGGCCAACAGGCAGCCATCTTTGATTTGAGAGTTAAAGTTTGTTAGCACTATTTCTCAAAAAGTACTAGAGAGATCTTTCTCAACTATCCCAAGAAGGTTCCCCATGGTCCCTAGTTATGCATATCAATTTTTGGGACTGATCACAAAACCAACATGGCCAACAGGCAGCCGTCTTGAATTTGAGGTTTAAAGTTTGTTAACGCTATTCCTCAGAATTCACAGGAAGGATCTTTCTCAAATTTCACATGAAGATTTCCATGGTTCTTTGTTCTGCATTTTGAATTTCGGGGATGATTGGAAAACCAAGATGGCAGGCAGGTGGCCGTATCAAATTTGGGAATAAAAGTTTGTTAGTGCTATTGCTCAAAAAGTATTGGAGGGATATTTTTTCAAATTTCACATAAGGGTTCCTCTTGGTTCTTAGTTATGCATATCAAATTTTTGGACTGATCTGAAAACCAAGATGCTGACAGGCAGCCATCTTGTTTCAGTTAAACATTGTTGTTGCTATTTCTTAGAAAAGAAAGTACTTACTGGAGGAATCTTTCTCAAATTTGATATGTAGGTTCACCTTGGTCCTTAGTTGTGCATGTTAACTTTTGAGGTCGATCAAAAGACAGATTAAAATGGTAAACAGACAAAGTGATCAACAGATAAGAGAAAAGAAGAGAAAAGATCAAACTGACCTATAGAACTAACGAAGATGGTACGACATGTTGGGTGCCAAGATTCCCTCTGGGTCGGTCCTCTTGTAATTTATTCCCAGTACTAGTTGAATTTATTTAATTTTTAAACATCTCTTTGTAAATGCATTGAAGTATTTAGTATTTTGAAATATTAAAACCAGTGTAGTTATTTCAAAATAAAATTATCATGTCTGTCGGACTGATGCACAATCTCTTCTGCAAGCCATGCACGGGGGAGAGGTATACAGCTAAACTATCCAATGTCGCTCACTTCGAGTGCAGTATTTCCTTCACGTATAAAGTCCTATATATGTAGTGTATGGGTGTCTGATGCTCTCCACAATTACTTTATTAACAAATTAGTGTATGGGTGTCTGATGCTCTCCACAATTACTTTATTAACAAATTAGTGCATGGGGTTCTGCTAGGAAGTTATGCTATCTTTAAACTTTACACTTAAGCCTTATACTTATATATGCTAGTGCTGAAGTGACATGTGGCATTTGATTTCTCCTTATAAGTTTTTTGTGACTTTAGACTCTATTTGACTAAATTGAAGTCATACAGCTTAGATAAATAGTGATGCAGTATTCCAGAATTGACTATTATTAATGATACAAATTCAAAATTTGTTGTTGCTTAATTTTTGAAAATGCATCATGCATGATTCATCAGAAATTCAGGCAGGCTATCTGGAGCACTCTGGTATATCACAGGTCACAGAGTCCGTTGGCATAGAATTATGATATTTGTTTGGTAGCTTCCTGGGATGGAGCCTGACAAAGTGTTTGAATGAAAATAACCTGGATCTACTTTCAAGGTCACAGGGGTCAAATGTGTCAAACACTTCAAGCGAATTCTTCTGAAGAACTGAAAGGTATATAATCATAATATTTGGCTCATGGCTTCCTGGGATAGAGCTAATCAAAGTTTGCAAATGAAAATTACCTTGACTTACTTTCTAGGTCACAGGGGTGAAATATTTTAAATGCTTCAAACATTTTTCTTAAGAACTGAAAGGTATAGAATCTTCATATTTGACTGGTAGCTTCTTGAGATGGATCCCAACAAAGTTTGTGATTGAAAATGACCTTGACCTACTTTCAAGATCACTGGGGTCAAATATGTCAAACACTAGCTGAAAGCGTCATTGGTAAGAGCCTGACAAAGTGTGAGAACGAAAGAGACCTTGACCTACTTTCAAGATCACAGAGTTCAAATGTGTCAAACACTTTAAATGACCTCTTTTGAATAATCTAAAAGCATAGAATTATAATATTTGGCTGGTAGCTTCTTTGGAGCCTAACAAACCTTGCAAGTGAAAATAAACATGACCTACGTTCAAGGTCACAGGGATCAAAAACATCAAACACTTTAAGTGACTTCTTCTGAAGAACTGAAACGTATAGATTCCTGATATTTGGCTGGTAACTTATTTGGATTGAGCACAACAATGTTGGCAAATAAAGATGACTTTGACCTACTTTCAAGGTCACAGGATCAAATATGTCAAAACATCAAACGACTTCTTCTGAATAATCAAAACGCACAGAATCATAATATTTGACTCATGGCTTCCTGGGATAGAACTCACCAAAGTTTGCAAATGAAAATGACTACAACCTACTTCAAAGGTCACAGAGGTCAACAACACTTCAAACAACTGAAGAACCAAAAGGCATGGAATCATAAGATCTGGCTGGTAATTTAGTGAGATAGAGCCAACAAAGTTTGAGAAGGAAAATGACATTGACCTTCTTACAAGGTCACAGAGACAAATATGTCAAACACTTCATACAACTTCTGAAGAAGAACTGAAAAGCATAGAATCATATAATAATATTTGGAAGGTATATAGCTTCAACAAATGGAGCAGACAAAGTTTGCAATTGAAATATTTGTAGTACAGTATAATATTTGATGAGAATATTTTGCTGTGACTTCTTAGATATCTAGGTGAGTGATACAGGCCCTCTTGGCCTCTTGTTACAAATATCTATATTAAAGTTATTCATCCTGTATCTTGCAGTAGAAAAAGGTTGTTAAATTGCAAAATGAAATACTATTTTTTTTTAAATACAGTGGTGTGATATGGAAAAGTGCAATAGGGATTTAAAAAATTGCTAACATGAAGGTCAAAGTAAAATATTAAAAATAGACCTTTGTAAGGAGTACGACCAGGCACAAATGGCAGGACCATTCACTGCAGCTGACCTGTCAGTGTTCCTTGGCTGTTCCTTCAATGGCTGATATTAACAATTTTGCTTTAAAGGTAATTTACAATCAAAATTAATAACAAATGAGATATTTGCAGTATCAATTAGAGTCAATAAGGTATTATATATAGATAATAACCTTTTGTTTTCTTTGCAGCCCTAGGTAATTCTGCTGATGAAGTTATCATCCTAGACTTTCGTTACTACAATGAAGCCCTTACAGACAGGTAAATATTATACCTTGATCAAACAAACTTTACATCAAGTTTTGTTTGCAGATAACTGTTAATTGGACAAGCAATGAGAATTGATAAAACTGGACAGCCAGTCCATAGAGACTAAAGGTGAGGTTGTTACCTGGTGTATGTCATCACTGTATAGACCGGACAGGTAGTCAATGGCGAGGAAGTGTAGTGTTACCTGGTGTATGTCATCACTGTATAGACTGGACAGGTAGTCAATGGCGAGGAAGTATAATGTTACCTGGACAGGTAGTCAATGGAGAGGAAGTGTAATGTTACCTGGTGTATGTCATCACTGAATAAGACTGGACAGGTAGTCAATGGAGAGGAAGTATAATGTTACCTGGTGTATGCCATCACTGTATAGACTGGACAGGTAGTCAATGGCGAGGAAGTGTAGTGTTACCTGGTGTATGTCATCACTGTATAGCCCGGACAGGTAGTCAATGGCGAGGAAGTGCAGTGTTACCTGGTGTATGTCATCACTGTATAGACCGGACAGGTATTCAATGGCGAGGAAGTGTAGTGTTACCTGGTGTTTGTCATCACTGTATAGACTGGCTAGGGTGTCAATGGAGAGGAAGTGTAGTGTTACCTGGTGTATGTCATCACTGTATAAGACTGGACAGGTAGTCAATGGAGAGGATGTGTAATGTTACCTGGTGTATGTCATCACTGTATAGCCCGGACAGGTAGTCAATGGCGAGGAAGTGCAGTGTTACCTGGTGTATGTCATCACTGTATAAGACTGGACAGGTAGTCAATGGAGAGGATGTGTAATGTTACCTGGTGTATGTCATCACTGAATAAGACTGGACAGGTAGTCAATGGAGAGGAAGTGTAGTGTTACCTGGTGTATGTCATCACTGTATAGACTGGACAGGTAGTCAATGGCGAGGAAGTGTAATGTTACCTGGTGTATGCCATCACTGTATAGACTGGACAGGTAGTCAATGGAGAGGAAGTATAATGTTACCTGGTGTTTGTCATCACTGTGTAGACTGGCTAGGTTGTCAATGGAGAGGAAGTGTAGTGTTACCTGGTGTTTGTCATCACTGTTTAGACTGGACAGGTAGTCAATGGCGAGGAAGTATAATGTTACCTGGGGTATGTCATCACTGTATAGACTGGACAGGTAGTCAATGGAGAGGAAGTATAATGTTACCTGGTGTTTGTCGTCACTGTGTAGACTGGCTAGGTTGTCAATGGAGAGGAAGTGGAGTGTTACCTGGTGTATGTCATCACTGTATAGACTGGACAGGTTGTCAATGGAGAGGAAGTGTAGTGTTACCTGGGGTATGTCATCACTGTATAGACTGGACAGGTAGTCAATGGAGAGGAAGTGTAATGTTACCTGGTGTTTGTCATCACTGTATAGACTGGCTAGGTTGTCAATGGAGAGGAAGTGTAGTGTTACCTGGTGTATGTCATCACTGTATTGACTGGACAGGTAGTCAATGGAGAGGAGAAGTATAATGTTACCTGGTGTTTGTCATCACTGTATAGACTGGACAGGTTGTCAATGGAGAGGAAGTGTAATGTTACCAGGTTTATGTCATCACTGTATAGACTGGACAGGAAGTCAATGGCAAGGAAGTATAATGTTACCTGGTGTATGCCATCATTGTATAGACTGGCTAGGGAGTCAATGGAGAGGAAGTATAATGTTACCTGGGGTATATATGTCATCACTGTATAGACTGGACAGGGAGTCAATGGCGAGGAAGTATAATGTTACTTGGTGTATGTCATCACTGTATAGACTGGGCAGGTAGTCAATGGCGAGGAAGTATAATGTTACCTGGGGTATATATGTCATCACTGTATAGACTGGACAGGGAGTCAATGGAGAGGAAGTGTAATGTTACCTGGTGTATGCCATCACTGTATAGACTGGACAGGAAGTCAATGGCAAGGAAGTATAATGTTACCTGGTGTATATATGTCATGACTGTATAGACTGGACTGGTAGTCAATGGCGGGGAAGTGTAGTGTTACCTGGTGTTTGTCATCACTGTATAGAGTGGACAGGTAGTCAATGGAGAGGAAGTGTGATGTTACCTGGTGTTTGTCATCACTGTATAGACTGGCTAGGTTTTCAATGGAGAGGAAGTGTAGTGTTACCTGGGGTATGTCATCACTGTATAGACTGGACAGGAAGTCAATGGCAAGGAAGTATAATGTTACCTGGTGTATGTCATCTCTGTATAGACTGGACAGGTAGTCAATGCCGAGGAAGTATAATGTTTCCTGGTGAATATATGTCATCACTGTATAGACTGGACAGGTAGTAAATGGCGAGGAAGTATAATGTTACCTGGGGTATATATGTCATCACTGTATAGACTGGACAGGAAGTCAATGGCAAGGAAGTATAATGTTACCTGGTGTATGCCATCACTGTATAAGACTGGACAGGTAGTCAATGGGGAGGAAGTGTAATGTTACCTGGTGTATGTCATCACTGTCTGGTGTATGTCATCACTGTATAGACTGGACAGGGAGTCAATGGAGAGGAAGTGTAATGTTACCAGGTTTATGTCATCACTGTATAGACTGGACAGGAAGTCAATGGCAAGGAAGTATAATGTTACCTGGTGTATGTCATCACTGTATAGACTGGACAGGTAGTCAATGCCGAGGAAGTATAATGTTACCTGGTGTATATATGTCATCACTGTATAGACTGGACTGGTAGTCAATGGCGAGGAAGTGTAGTGTTACCTGGTGTTTGTCATCACTGTATAGACTGGACAGGTAGTCAATGGCGAGGAAGTATAATGTTACCTGGTGTATATATGTCATCACGGTCAAATATGATAAAAACTTCAAACAACAACATCCTAAGAACCTTTTTGACTAGAGTCATAATACATTGTACAGTACTTGGGTATGTTATTAGGATTAGCTGTGGGATTTCATTTCTTTATTACAGTAATGAGGTCAATGGTCAACTTTAAGTGATAGTTAAAGGTTAACATAGGTTAAAACCTTTAACAATCTTTTTCTCAAGTTCCATAAGGCCCATAGGGTCATGATATGTGGCCAGTAGGTACTTGGGATGAAGTGTTTTAAAGTTTCCTCATTAAAATGCCATTAATCTAGATTCAAGATCACAGGGGTCAAATATGTTAAAAGCTTCAAATAACAACATCCTAAGAACCATTTGGACTAGAGTCATAATGGTTGGGTATGTTATGAAGACCAGCAATGTTTTTATTTTTTTATTACAGTTATGAGGTCAAAGATCAACTTTAAGTGCTAGTCGGGGGTTAAAGGTCAACATGGGTTAAAACCTTTAACAATCTTTTTCTCAAGTTCCATAAGGCCCAGGGTCATGATATTTGACCAGTAGGTACCTGAGATGGAATGCTCCTCATTAAAATGACATTGACCTAGTTTCAAGTTCACAAGGGTCAAATATTTTAAAGACTTCATACAACAATATCTTAAGAACCATTCGGTCTAGAGTAATGATAATTGAATACGTTATGAAGACCAGCTGTGTGAATCGTTTTCTTCATTACAGTTATGAAGTCAAAGGTCAACTTTAAGTGCTAGTCAGGGTGTCAAAGGTCAACGTACGTGGGTTAAAAGCTTTGAAATTAAAATTTTAAACAACAATATCTTCAGAATCTTTTAAGAGATGTTAAAATGTCTCGTGTTCTAGTTACTAAATTTGGTCTGAAGTTACCTTTATGTCAGTTTCATGTAACAAAAGAAACAGGTGAGCGATACAGGCCTCTGGGCCTCTTGTTTTTACCATTATCTTCATTAGCCCATCACTTACATCTACCTGTAATTTTATTCGGAGGTTTCTTTTCATTTTCAGGGAGATTGAATATCTGTTCAATAAGTCTTCTATCCTGGACCTTACCAAGCCCCCTTTAAATTGTCGCTGCTCCCCTACACACCCAACTCTTCAGGATCCCAGGGCCAAAGAGGACCTGTTATGTACCAATAGAGCCTCGGGCAACACTGTGCCACTACTAGAGATGGATGCACACCTGCCAGTATTTACCATTGACAACAACCCAGCAACAAGCTGGGTAACAGAGCCGACTAAGCAAGCGTGGATTTTGCTTACAATGGATCAAATATATCAGGTAGATACATCATACGAAGTTTCCCTTGTTAGCAATTCAGACAAAATTATACAGTTATTCCACTTTTTGGAGGAACAACCTGCTGGAAGTTTTGAATGTAGATTCAACAGTTTTACAAGCTGTCTTTTATTTTTGTCTTGTCTCTCATTTTAAGAAAGCTTTGAGTCATTTACAGAAAACTTGTTTAGCTTAACCTGCCCAAAGGCACGACATTTATCCTCCATACATCAATTTTCCCTTTAAACGCTACTTGTCCAAGAATCTTACTCTTTAAATACGATTGGAGGGATTTTTCTGTAGAGCATCCTTGGGCAAAGGGAACTCAATTATGCATAAGTGTAGAGTGTTGCTATGGAAGGTCAGAGAGATGGGGCCCAATTTGGGATACTGAGGTAAATCTTTAAAATACTTTGATTGGGGGGATTTGAACCAAATTTTGTTGAGTCAGCATCCTTGGGCATAGGGATGGGGGGATCAAATAGAAAAAAGGGACCCAATAAAGGACTAGTGTAAATGCTGAGAGACAGCCAATGTTTGGAAAATAGTTGCAGTATTATATTGAATGAGAATATGTTACCATATGATTGCTTAATAATCCAGGTGAGCGATACAGGCCATCTGGGGCTCTCGTTGTAGATGTCATATGTATATTTTCATTAGTGCTCAATTAATGATGTCTGATTTTGAGTGTCTGTTTTTTGTTTTTGTTGGGTTTTCTGTGTAAGTCAGAAGTTAATTAATTAGTTTCTGTTTCACGGGCTATTGTGGCCGAGTGCTTAAGATGTCTAGCAATGTTTTATCACTAGCCCTCCAACACTGGGTCAGTTTCTCCCAGCACTTTAACTAGGCCATACTTAATTGACCATAGCTGTTCGTAAGATGTTAAACACAAAAACTCATTTCTTTATCATGTAAGTCTTATTCTTTTTTTTTGACAGAAAAAGTGAAACATACTTTGAATATTATGTTTGTGCCCTGGAATGGATCTTTTGGTTGCCTATGCATGTAAAATTAAATAATCCAGAACAAATTTGAATTAAGTGATTTTGTCTTTTTCAAGACAAATGAAATTTGTTAAACATAGAATATGTACCTGAAAACAGTATCTGTGAAACAGTGGGGAACCATATAGGGACACATTATTGATTTACCTCTTAGAGAGTCACAGTGGTGAACCATAAAGGGATTCATTACTGACTCACAGTGGTGAACAATAAAGAGACTCATTACTAACTCACTTCTGATA